ATTTTACATTTTCGTGCGTCCCAGATTTCTCCGCCATTTTGAAAGCTAGAAAGTTCGGGTTTGTTTTAAAATGTAGCCAACACTTGGGGCTATAACTCAACAGAGTCCGATTTTTCGATTTCATGATAGATGTCAGATGAGGGGGAAATGTTTGAGAATTTACACCCTACTGATTTCATATGATGACGTAGAAGTTCTCTAAAAACTAAGCTAAAGAAAAATTAAAAAATCGGACTCTGTTAAGTTGTAGTCCCAGATATTGGCTACATTTTAAAACAAGCCCGAGCTTTCTAGCTTTCAAAATGGCGGAGAAATCTGGGATGCACGAAGACCTATGTTTTGGACCTTAATATTAAGCTATCTCCTGGAATCCTTAAGGTTTCAGGCTGAAATTTTTATCACAAGGTGCCCAGCCCAAGATACATCTACTCTGAAAATTTCGTTAAGATTCGATGTTCTATGGCAAAAATAAAATTTTGGCTGGGGGGTGGGCCTTAAACAAAGATTAAAAAATTTCATGCTCTCTATTAGCAGTTGTTTTTTTTTCATCTTATTTTTCGATTGTTCTTCTTTGAAAAACTCAAAAATAAACTAATAATCACGGTCTTTATACTCGTTTTGTCAAACTGAACCTGTGAAAGATAAAATTACAGTAAGATATCAACACGCCAATGCAGCGAATGATGAAGAAAACAAAAAATATTGATTCATGCCGAGAAGATGAAGCTATATCCTAATAAATCCAAGATTTTTCTGAACAATGCTCGTCTGTATGCACATTTGACATGCGATTATACATCCAGAAGAAAGAAAATAGTGATTAGCAGAATAATAAAATCACCTTAGTCAACGTTTCTTATCTATCTTGAGGATGAGTGAGGATTGTTGGGATGAAGATAAGGGTATAGAAAATCTTCTCATTCATCATCATCCTCACACCTTCGTAATAGACACAACTGACATTAGTTGGTTCTAGAATCTGGATGTAGGTATCCTTTCATTCTGTCTCCTTTTTTTTCTAGACTGCAAATGTGACTATTGCGTGGTAGATGCCTCGGAAAACTTTGGAGGAAATAGTGAGAGATCAATATAATGGCAGAGAGAGAAATAATAAAGCATGAGATGCAGCATATAAACCAAACGTATTAACTTCAGTTTATCTTGGATATTCACTGCCAGAGCAGATCACAATGGATGACTAAAAGTTTTGCATCTGTTTCATTTCCAATCTCATTCTCTAAACACCTATTTCCGAGACTTCGTATTTCTTCTTTTAGAACAAAAGTAGACTAAAGTACACTTTCATCTATTTGTTCATTCTAATTATATGTGGTATATTTGGGTGTGGATATGTGATTGGGTGAGCTGTGAGTATGGAAGTGTTGTGGGTACGGACTTGTATTCATTGACAGGCACAACCACACCCACACCCCCATGCCAGACTTCCGAGCAAGGCCAAGTTTTAAACTTATAGCCTAGTCTGCTCCAATTCGGCTGAGATAAAACCTATGAACCAAGTCACGTCAGACCGAATTCTTTGTCCTAAATAAAATTTTATCAAACTGTTATGTTTTAATAAATTTTGGTTAGAAGTATGACTGTTGATATAAAATCACTTGGCACGCTTATCGAAATTAAAGTTTTAATTTAATTTTGATAATCGATATTGCAACAAAATATTTTATTATAAAACGGTTGCTTATTACGTATCCTAGTGTCTATTGCTTCATATGAGTTTTGTCATATGCAGATTTTTCAGTATATCAACTGGCATAGTTCTACAATGAATAGCCGGTATTTATATGAACAGTATCGAGTTTTTTGTTTATTCTAGTTGAACATATATTGCAATAGTACAAAGCAGTACGTTAGTGAAAAAGTTTAAAAGACATGTGAAAACTAAGTCAATTTTTGATCAATAGAATATCATTTTGAACTAGTTTTTACTTCCGTTTTCACGTGGACTTATGATCGTGATAGAATCAATCTCAATAAAAGAGGACAGTGCATACATAAGAACATTGATGTTAGCTAGTAGAGTACTTCAAGTAAATATCGTTCAGTATTTCAAGACGTTAAGCGTTTCGACAAAAACTAATCATGTTCTGTGGTTTTCGACAAAAGCTTCCAGTAACTCTTACTATTCATTATCATGAAACAGCAACGATCAAGGTAATGTTTTAATAGTGTAACTGTTTTCATCGAACACTTTATATCTTGAAAATGTGGGTGTGGAGTGTGGGGTGGGTGTAGGTATGGATGTGAGTGGGTATGAGAATGTGAGTGTGTGGTGTGAGTACAGAGTGTGAGTGTGGTTGGGTGTGGATGCAGCAAAGAATTACAGCCACACCCATGCGCTCATACCCACGCCACACATCCACACCCACACGCCACACTCTCATACCTACACCCACATCCATACCCACACCCATTCTTCAAGTTATGAGTGCGAGATAAACAGTTCTCTAATGTAAATTTTGTTACTTTTATGATTAAGTTCATGCGTACGTACTTCTGTCAATTTTCCTTTTTTCTACTTGAAACGAATTCGCACATGTTTTCAACTAAAAAAAGTAACATTGAAAGAAGCACTTATGGAAGAACTTACTCATAAAAGTAACAAAAATTTACGTCAGAAAATTGTCAATCTCCCATTACTGATTTGAAGAATGTCCCTGGAAGTGACGGATGACGTTTGTATTATAAAAAGTTTTTATGAAGAGTTGAAAGACAAATCTATTGAGAAAAATAAAGACTGAAAAAAATGAATTAAAAAACTATGTTTTTTCTCAATATAAATCGCGCTGATACTTTGATGAAAACTCTACTCAATCATCTAAAAAACAATCTTATTCACTAATCAATTAGAATCATTTCTATGGTTTCATAAACATTTGATGAAATTGAATGCGCAACTTCAAATGTTATTATTGGACCATCTTAATAAAGTGTTTTAATTGTTTAATTATATAATCTTTTCAGAAATGTTCTAACTGATGCTTTGCATCAATTTTTCAAAAATGAAGTCTTTCTTAATGAACTATTTAAAACTATATTTTTTTTCACTATTCTTTGGCGCACTAATAATAGAATGGAATGCGCAAAACACGATTCGCAAAAAAAAGATATTTTTCATTATACACCTGATTTCATTAAATTTTTGATGTACACTAAGGGACATAAATAATTTTTAATTGATAAGTCAAATACATGGCTTTATAGAGCTTTTAATGAACTTCTGCGGTGCAAATGAAAACCGTGGCATCTAATCTAAGAAGAGACAGAGATGTTGAAAATGTGCACATAGATATTTTCTTATGTCATCTGCTAAGTTATTTGCTTTCCAACTTTTTCAAATGCTACGACACAAACTAGAACTAACATGATTTGGTTTCACTTAGAATCGATCAATCAGTAAATGAAATTATAAAGAGTCTATTTAGAAATTAAGTCAGAGTATGGTGGAAAAAGCTCCGTGATAATGTTGTACAGATATGACAAAAATTCTAGGAAATATTTACCCTTTGCGGAACAAATTTTGATTGGCCAACTTCGGTCGATTTTTATGGCGCAGCTAGATGCGCATTAGTCCAGATTATCGTGCGCAAGGATCAGGTCAGCAATACTGAGACACTTTAGGTGTACTATGTCCATTTATTGCAAGAACACGAACATAATTTATATGAAAGAGTTTAGTAAAGGAAAACAACTAGCAAAAAAAAGTGTGCCTATCAAAAGAAGTGCATTGTTTTTAGATATCAATATGAAGTTCTAATTAATGGGGAATAAATAAAAGCAATTTCTTCCATTCGAAACGCATAAAGTCACTTTGCAAGTTGAATATTCTATTTAAGATCGCTGTTGGTTATTTTTCGTGCTGCAATAGGCACATCTCCTTCGAGACGTAGGAATTGAAGAATGAACACCAACATTGGAAAATAGAATTTCATTAGAAATGGATATTTTTCTTTCACCTTTCTTGCGCTTTTTAACACCAAAATTGGTTACAGGTCTTCCTTTTCTCTTATTTAGTGAAAACCTGCAACCAATTAGTTGTTCAGCAATAGTAGATAAAAATTGCAAGTATCTCATATTGTCATTTGGATGATCTCTTTCACAGATAACAAAAGCACTCGATAACGCCACATTGAAGAAATGAAAAAATATTCCGAGTCAATTTCTGTGTGACTTTCTGTCAACAGCATGATGCTGAATTCTTTGATCGACCCGGTCAACTCCAACCTTTCCATAGTAGTAATACTGATTCATTACGGGACACTGTAGCTGAAGTGTTTTTCCATTTTTCAATTTATGAGTAATTTTTGTCATGTTTGATGGATCCGGGTGTGGGTGTGGGTGTGGGGTGTGACAGGTGATACAATCCACAAACCCACACCCACACCCTCGTTGAAAGGTAAGAACTTTTTCATGTGTTCGGGCAAAGGGAAAAACAAAAAAAATTAAAATAGAATAAAAATCAATTTCGTTAAAGTATCTACTAGCTAGGTGAAAACTTCCTTTTCAAATTGACAATAGGATAAGAAGAATAAAGGCATGTGATAGGTTATTCCTTTTGCTACCGTATTACATTGATCGACCGCAGGAATTAATCATAAAGCTTCGATTCAACGACTGATTTTTAGAGATTAATCAATGATATTGTACTGAGTTAATCGCAATTTCTAAATTTAGATTTACTTTTCCACGATTATTTTCGTTTGACTTTTAATATATCCGGTGTCCCAAAAGTCCGTCGTGAAATTAAATCCGCAGAATTCCATAATTTATCAAACTTAATTAACTAAATATTTCTAGAGGACAGAATCCGTGTAAAACTTTTATTTGCACGAAGAAGGGTGTGGGTGTGCGTGTGGGTAGGGTATCAGTGTGAATATGCTAGTGAATGGAATGAAGACCTGCACCGTCACCCACACCCACACCCACACCCTTCTACTGGTTTTGGTTCGAGTCCTTATGCCATCACCACTGCAAAGCTGACAAACAGCATTCAAACAGATGTTGTTGTAACGCTTTGGGGTATTGGAAGTGTTGGTATTTTAACTGAATATGCTGCAGTAGAGTTTGGAAAACAAAGGACATATGCAACCGGTTTAGCTCCACAACCATATTCTTTAACTGTTGGTAATTTCAATAATGATAGTTACATAGACATAGCTGTCGTCAATTCAGGAAGTGATAGTTTAAATGTCCTTTTGAATTCGGGTAATGGTACATTTGAAATGCAAATAAACTATCCTATTGGTGCAGATTCATACCCACGATATATTCTCGCTGATGATATTAACAAAGATAATTATGTCGATTTAGTAATTGCTACTTCAAAGAATAACAGTATTAGTTTACTTATGGGACATGGTAATGGAAATTTTGATATTCCACAAGTGTATTCAACTGGCAAAGATTCATATCCATTGGCAATAGCTATCGGTGATGTCAATAATGATAATCGATCAGATTTAATTATTGCCAATGCAGGTATAGATGGTATAGGTATACTTCTGCGGTTTGATTATACAACATTTCAAAGACAAAAGACTTATTCCAGCGAGAATACTAGAAGACCACATTACATCATCACCAGTGATTTTAACAATGATAAATATCTAGATATTGCTATTACTTATAGTCTCAGTGATAACATAGGTATTCTTCTTGGATGTGGCAATGGAAATTTCACTACCATGCTAAGATATTCAACTGGATATGGTTCTTATCCTATTGCGGTTGTCTTAACCGATATGAACAACGATAATCAAACAGATATTATTGTGACCAACTATGCTGCTAACGCTATAGGTATTCTATTTGGACGTAGTAATTTAAATTTCGATACCATAGTTAATTATCCGATTGAAAAAGGTGCGAATCCAGTATCACTTGCCGTTGGTGACTTTGATAATGACGGTCAAACGGATATTGCCGTAGTTAATGTCGACTCTGATAGTATCAGTATAGTTTTAGGTTATGAAAATGGAAGTTTTTTAAGTCAATTAACCTATTCAACGGGTTATCAATCTGCGCCATCGGGGATAACTGTTGGAGATTTCAATTGAGACAATCAACTTGATCTGGCTACCAGTAATTACAATATGAATAATGTCGCTATTTTTCTTGGATACGGAAATGGTACTTTTTCTCCTGCCACCGAATTTTCTACTGGCGATGGTTCTTCTCCATCCTTTGTTCAAGCTGGTGACTTTAATAATGATCATATATTAGATATAGCTGTCGCTAATTATGGAACTAGCGGTATTGTTGTGCTTTTTGGATTCGGAGATGGGAGTTTTCTACTAGGAACCGAATATCAAACTGGTGTAGGATCAACACCGTATGCCTTTGCTATTGGTGATTTTGATAATGATTTTCGGCTGGATGTTGCTGTCGCAAATGAAAAATCAAACGATATAAGTATTTTTCTTGGATATGATAGGGAACTGTATGCCGGTATAACATTATATAGTACGGGTCTTGGATCACAGCCACATTCAGTCGCTATTGGTGATCTGAATGAAGATGGTCTATCCGATATTGTTGTAGCTAACTATCGTACTGACAATATAGGTATTTTATTTGGACGTAATGATGGAGTTTTCGATACTATAACAACATATTCAACGGGAGTTGGTTCTGCTCCATACTCTCTGTCCGTAGCTGATTTTAACAGGGACAATCATTTGGACATTGTTGTTACTAATTCTGAAACAGACACTATTACTATTCTGCTCGGCTATAGTAATGGAACGTTTGCCATTGAAACGACATACTCGACTGGTGCTCGTTCTCGACCGTACACGGTGTCAGTTGGGGATTTTAATAATGATCATATATTAGATATTGCCATTGCAAATTCTGGTACTAATAATATATTTCTACTTTATGGATATGGTAATGGCCTATTTGGAAACAAAACTTCTTATGCTCTAGGCTACGGATATGATCCGTATTCGATCGCAGTCACAGATTTAAATCAAGATGGTTGGACGGACATTGCCATTGCCTGTTATGGCACAGACCATGTAGAAACTCTAATACAAAGATGTTAGATTCGTTGTCATTACATATACTTTTCTATTAACTAAGCAAGCATTTTTAATTCGAGTAAATTGTTGTCCTTTCTTTTTTTATTGATATGATACTAATCATTTCATAAATAAATGTTTATACGATGATTTTGACGCAATACGGCAAATATGAAAACAAAATTTTGACTTTGTTTTTCGAAGATATCCATGTAAGCAAATATTTATCAATTTACAAAGTAACGATGTAAAGCCATCATTTTCTGTTTTTATGCATTCCCAAAGGTAGATAGTATTGATGTTGCTTCATAGATCTATGAGGATAGGCCTATTTCGATCGACATCATCTCTTCACATTGCTTCAACTTCATAATTGTTAAAAGAGTACTGTCATGCTTTTGTAATTCTTGATGAAAGCACAATGGTATTCTTCTCATTTCGATCCGTTCACACTTATATTTCGACATTTTTTTCAATAGTTTTAATTTGGAACATCAGTAGAGTGATTCCATAGAAGCCTTATTATTTGTCTGAATAACAGAGTTTGACAACGTCTTCTTCATGAATAAACCAAATATGTTCCTGGGTTCTGCGTAATTCTATCTCGTTTGGTATGCTTCATAAAAAATGATGATTGATTCGATGCAGGTATTGATTTAAAAAGTAAATTTTTCCTTCTTCTATCCCAAAGTATTGATAGAGCTAAGAGTCAACATCGAATAACTTCCCTAAGGTAGACTATTAGAAACTAAAATTTTCATATTATTAGTGTGAGACATTCATAATTCTAAATTGCTAAAAAAATCAACAAGAATTTTTGTCTAGTGCTTCCTTTACTGTATGATCCAGAGACTGACGAGACAGGAGACAAAAAAAAAGAAGTAGGATGGAGCGGGACAGGACACGGAACAAAATATCGCGGGATATGGGATAGGTGGGACTTAATAATTCTCCTGCTTAGGGAGCACTTCAGAATATATTCCGGTCGGTCAGTCGTTATTCCTTCATTCCTTTATTCCACTGTTTCGCTATTCTTCTGTTCCCTTATTTCTTATTCCTCTATTCCGTTATTCCATATTTCTCGATTCCTTCAGTTATTTATTCTGTTATTTTTTTTTCTTTTGTTTTTGCTAATAACTGACGACCACTTTCATGGTCCTTACAGTACGAGAGTTAAGAGGGAGAAAAAAAAGAAAGAAGAAAGAGAAGATACAACCTGCCTAGAAAGGAAGAAGTTACAAGTGTTTCAACAGTGAGTAGAACAACATTACACTTTGTATATTTTAAAAAGTCTCTGGGAACTCATATAATGTAATAGCTTCTTCAGGATCATAATTAAGATTGGAATCATTCGAAGGAGCACTTGCGCACCAGGAAGTGCATTTTTCGAGGACTGATGTGTACTCAACGAATCTTTTGGAGCGATGAATACCCTTTATCTTACTCTCCCCGTTCAGCCAGTTTTCTCTCAGTGCATTAAAATTGCTCTGTTCAATGATCAAGGAACCATCTGTTGTATCTGACAACGCTAGCAGGTAACGTTCCCAATATTTATTACATCGGTCTTCCAGTGATAGTTCATTTATGACGTACATGAAGAAATTTCTGCTCCAATGCATACAAAACATCACTCTTCGTAAACATCGTGTGTAGAATTCGTTCAAATCTTGTTGTTGTTTCGGGGTAAATAGCGGGAAAAGCCATGCAAAAACAGGAAGGATGTAGGAGTTGAAAAGGACCTTCCTCAGTATTGGAGATGTGAAACTTTTCAAACGAAATAAGTTGATCATAGAAATTCTTTGACGCACTTTCAGCTTTGTCTTATGAATCGTTGTACCAAATCCTAGCTTTGAATTAAATACATAACCTAAGTACTCTATTTCCTTCACCCATTCAATTTTTTTGTGACCACATTTCAATTCCATGTCCGGATAACCGATTGCTCTGGCGGAGAAGAGTACTTGTGTTTTATTGTAATTAATTGGTTGAGTTGTTAACGCACAGTAGTATTCCAAGTTCTCAAAAAACATTGATAGTTTGCTCTCAAGTTCGCGACATTGCAGTGTATATTTGAACCCCATACCTCCAGCCAGTATTGCTGCCAGATCATCTGCAAATAGATGACTTAAGCAACAACCTAATACTTCAGTAAGATCACAATGATAAGTAATAAACAACAGTGGTGTAAATATAGAGCCCTGAGGTTCTTCTTTGAGAATGAGGAACCATGTTGATCGTTTACCTTTTATGGGATGTGGGTGTGGATACTGATGCCTTCTATACCCGCATCCACATCCTCGCAGGTACATCCACATACCCACGCCCACACTCGACACCCAAGATAGTTCGTTAATTTTCCTGTTCAAGTGAAATTAACTTAGGTCACAATTATTATTGGTGATATGATTGTTTGCATAATGTGAAACATGCTTTTAAATGTTGCGAATGTTCAATAATATCTCATAAAATTTTCTCATCTTAGACAGCATCGACTGCTCAATGTCAAAATGATTTCTAATATGAAGATGACTACTCAATGTCAATATGTCATGCACTTGTGCAATCGCTAGAAGAGAGCGTGAAGTCTCTTTATCCAATTCCTACGGACACATATCGACGTCATGCTATTGGACTATGAATTCCTTGACTTGAAAACAATAAACGTGAGTTGATCTGTCAAACTTTTCGATACGAAGTTTATTCAAATTCTTGCACGGTAACACTCATGGCCTCAGCATGTAGATCTTTTGTTCGTGATACTTTTTTAGCGAATATATTATTGTTTATTTATATTATTTCACAGAGTACTTTAACAATCCTTTATAATTCGACTTTTCTTTATCGAATTTGACCCATATGGCCACTTCTTTCTGTCCCACTTGAATTTCACGTTGAAACAGATGATTTTCGTTCATACCAGATGCTGAATCATCTTTTAGCCATTGCCCATCGACAGTTATACTCACCACATGGGCACCAGGAATCCGACAGCGAAATTTTATCTTTGATCCACGCTTTAGTATGCCATCAAGTGGTTCAAATAATTGGCATTTAGCTTCATTAAATGATGCATAGGTAATCGGAAATGACATGTAATTTTGAAGAGTTGACTTAGAAAGTTGTTTAAAATCGAATTGAACGACACAGTTTGATTGATTTTCATTGAAACGCTTAGCAAATAATGTTAATTTATATGATGAATAATTCATCGATGGAGCGAAGAGGCATTGCCACAACGATTCTTGATTATTAAAATTGATCAAGTGCCCATTTTCTATGGTTTTACTACTAAGACTATCTGCGATCTTTGCTGAGACGTGAATATCATCAGGAGAACGAACAAGAATTTCACAGTAGGGACTATTCTTGTCTGGTGGCCAGTCAATAAAACGAGTATTGACTGGCTTAATAATTTCAAGCTGATAATCAAAAAAATGCGACCATGTTAAAGGATATGAGATGGGTGTTGCAGGAAGGTGATCAATATCAAAGGTAAACTCGACAGTACAGTTTGAAGTAAATCTTTTTGAATCATCTTTCTTACCACCAAATACCAAAATTGTATGATTTCCAACTTTTTGTGGCGCAAAATGGCACCGCCATAAATTTCGGTCACGATCGAAATATACAAAATCACCACCTTCAATACTTGTTTTTGATTCGTCACATAACGACGCTGATAGTACAATATCATTGTTTGGTGCTGCAATGAGTATCTCTTCATAGGATTGTCCGGTCTCATAAGTAACCATGTGCGTATAGACTGGTGATATAATATTTAAATTGAGTTCAAAGAATCCTTCATATGTGCGAGGTAACATTAGGTATTGTTCCATGGTTAACGGACATTTGAGCAGTTGCCATTGAGAATTCTCGGGTAAGTGTCCATAGATCATATGTTCAGGTCGACATAAGAAGTAATGTGGCACTAGTTTCGCTTTATATTTATTTGTTGAACCATCCAAATGACCGGAACCCCAAGTTGATTCAATAAAGTAAGAATGTCCATTCTTGAGCGTAACTATATTCCATGCATGATTCGTCTTTTGAAAACTTGTTTGACGTGAGTTGAAACTATATCCCTTTGCATAGCCACTCACTTTACGGCATTGAAGTCCGATTCGAGTGCATAAGTCCGCATATAATGTTGAATAGCCTTCACAGACTGCTTTACCACTTAGGAACACATTAGTGGACGCTTGTGAACCGATGTTATTGCTGAAATAAGCTTCCGTATCATATTGAATGTTCTGAGAGATCCAATAGAAAATAATCCACGCTTGATCGATTTCACTTTGATTCACCGATAGTATTTGAATAGAATCGATCAACTGTTCGAATGATTTTGGTCACCATTGATCAATACTCTGTCGATAGGACATATTCGCGATCGCGGCCTGTCGTTCTTGACATATAGATGGCGTGAATGCTTCGTTGTCGACAGGAGTAAGATCAATATTTGATGATATCGCTTTTATTTGCATGTACTCGTCCTCTACTTTGCATGACCTTTGTGATCGTGACTCACCCATTGCCATATGTTCCTTGGTTACATCGGTTGATCGATCAAGAGTGATATTGTCTGATGGAAAGCGTTCCTCATTTACTTTGCGTGATTGTTCAGATTCTAATGCACTAACTGACGTGCTTGCATCAGTTGCTCTGGTTGATTGTTTTGGCGCAAACTCTTCGGAGATATCATCTTCATTCTTCACGATTCGTGATGTATCTGTCGTAGTAACAATCCTTTTAGGCACTGGAAGCACGATATCATTTGATTGTTTCACATATTTAGGAGTGACTGCCTGAATTTTTGTTGGTGCGCAACCCATAGCAAGATCTTACTTGAATTTTGTAAACGAATTTCTGCTACACTAAAATGAAATTCGTATAGATTCTTCCTTGCAACGTATATCCTGAGTACATAAAGCAGAATATTATGAAAAAAGGGCTGATAAGATAAAGTATTTAGTATTTGTTACCTTGTAAAAAACGTACATACATGTGTACATGTTGACTTGTCTACCAAAATCTCATGAAGCGAAATCTTTTTCTCATTTTTGTGATTCATGATCAATTTGTATAACACCACATCGAAAATGTCATCATCAATCAGCAGCCAATCGACCATACACAATGAAAAATAGAATCGCTTATTTATTCGGCTGTGCATGAAGAGAAGATGAACATGGACTTCAACAATCTCCCTCGTGCTTTCGTGTAGATGTTCAAAACAACTAAATGTATTCCACACAGATATCCCTATATTTCTATATCAACAAGAAGCATGCATCAGCACACTCTTTAACATATCAAACAAGTGCAGTAGAAAAAAGAGAAAAGAAGAAATCTATTTTATTGACTTTTTCCATGTGACAACGACTGAAATATTTAGAGAGTATAGCAGTGGCGAGTGGAAGAATTTTTGAAGGGAACAGGTGCGGTTGAGCAAAAAGCAGAACAGTTACGATAAAAATGCAATGTTTTGGAGAAAAACGGCTTGAAAGTAGCATAAAATCAGTTTTGAAGAGGGGGACCGTCACCCCCATCTCGTCCACTGTAGATTCGCCCCTGAATTTTAAATTTCTATCTTATTTCATCTTGTAGTATATTGTTTATATATATAATGTTCAGTGTGTGTATCTAACTGTCTGTATCGGATCAGAGATTAAAGGTTGCAGGTCAAAGGCCGTAAAACTACAAGGGGATAAGACTATAAGAGAAAAGGCTACAAGGGTGTAAGCCTACAAATGAGTAAAAAGGCGATGAACCTGTAAGGTCTATTTACATATATAAGGTGCAGTGTCTAATTGGGTATTTTGGGTGTCAAGGTTAAAGCATAGATGTGAAAATTTACAGGAAAAAACAGCCGTGTAATACGCACGGGATCTCGCTATTGAACTACGTTTTATAAAACAGGCAAGCCTGGACTGTCTCATCAGAAGTTCAATACTCACCTTTTTCTCGTCAATTTGCACAAAAATACACTGTCTTCGTAAAAGGAAAAAACAGAAGTGACTGACTCCTTTCTCGCATACAATAAGAACCAATTTTTTTGCTGTCTTCCTCCACCCTAATTTCCATTACGCAATGAATGATGAAATAATACTGATTCTGATCGATGTTTCAACATGCCAACCCTATGTGAATTTTGTATAGGATCACTTATACGCAAAGTGTACACAACGTCTGTTCGTATGAAAAGTAAATTCAATTTTATCGAATAGAGTAGGTGAGCGACACTTCACTGGCTTCTGTAAACAGATTAAATTTCTGATGAAAGAAATGCACAGATTTTCATACTGCTATCAGAATTGAGTTGCTTGGTATTTTTTTTGTATCTACTTCATCAATATTATCCAAACAGTCGACATGACAGTTCACTAGACCATACTTTCAAAAACACTTATTTCCACATCAAATCTGTGTTGCTTCAAGATAGTCATGATCTTTTTCAAATATTACTGATGGACATCGTATGTACATGTTTCCTAATAAATGTAACTTGTTTATTCCAATCTTAGATATAATATATAATGTTCGAAAGTTGAAAAACAAGAACTCAGGTATGGGTGTGAGGTATTGAGTGTAGTAGGCTGTCAATATGAGTGAGATGTGGCTGTGGCTGTGCGGGAGTTTGAGTATAGCTAAGCGGGCGGTGCGGGTGGGTGTGAATGTTGCTCTGGTGTTTGTAATCTACATTCCAACCACATCCACAGCCACATCTCAGATCCCACACCCACACTCCATTCACATGCATATCCGCACCCACATCCACACTCCACACTCCACTCACACTCACATCCGCACCAACACACACATCCAATCACTATCTGAGTTTTGTGATCATCTGAGTGTGGGTGTAGTACGAACGCACTGAAAACCCAGAGCTCACATGAACTCGTACCTCACTTCCACTCACATCTATGATTACATTCGATTGGCACCCGCGTCTGCATTTCTTGTGGTGTGGGGTGTGGGTGGGTGTTTAGGTGTGGATGTATTAATAGAAGACACCGACAACCGCTAATACTCATGGTTAAGTATGTGGTAGCTGATAAAATAATTTTTTTCACCAATGGGTAGAAAATATATATGCAACGAAATAATTTTGTACACATTAATAGACTTTTGAGTGTGTGGCTGTGCGTGCAGAGATCAGTACTAGTGTTAGTGTTGAATGTGGGTGCCAGTGTGTGGGGATGCTGAATGGAGAAAGAAAACACTAAAATCCAGTCACACACGCACAATTCGCATCTATATCTGCACCCACCCAGCCTTAGCCATATTCGTACACGATGCACAGAGCTACAGCCACACGCCCAAACTCACACTCACCTGTATCCGCTCCACATCCTTTTTATTATGACAACAGAAGTCCGATTACAGCGTTGTCAGTGCATATCTACTGTACACAGCTTCATCTGAATATTAACTGTGACCTTCCTTTTCTGCGAATTGGAAAAAACCAACTGCTGACAGTAGCCAGATTGCACCATTCGTTAATTGATTCTCTTTTTTTTAAGCGCAAATAAAAGCAGCCATACGAATGCACCATGCGCAAACACATCGGCTTTCTGCAGAACAAGTGCGAAAAGAAAGCAAGCGCGAGTTGAGAACTTCTTATTTGTGAACAACAATAAAATGAAACTTAAGTATAATAGAATTATTTAATATTTTCTCGGAATGCTAAAGTTGACAATTTCACTAGGTTTTGTAAAACGAATATATCAGTGACATGACAGATAAGCACCCTGATAAATAAGCCTCTCAACAGTCGAGGGTGTGGGTGTGGGTGTGGGTGTGGGTGTGGGTGTGGGTGTGGGTGTGGGTGTGGGTGTGGGGGTGGGTGTGGGGGTGGGGGGGGTGGTGTGGGTGTGGGTGTGGGTGGGGGGGTGTGGGTGTG